CTTACAGGACGGCTCTGATCTCTGCCGCTTCCACGCCCTTCTGACAAACACAGGGGGCAGCTCAGACTCTGGAATCAGGGTGCTGCTGTACATCAGGCACAGGACAGAGTCAGTGTAGACATCATCATGATTCTCAGGTACAAAAGGGGGAGTCCAAAGCTTAAAGACAAACCAAAAAACCCACCCCAACGTCAGCAGCGATAAAAAACTCCCCAATCAACAAAAAAACACCAACCCACAACCCACGGTCTGCCACGAAATAAAGGATTTTAGATAAGGTTTCCTTCATATGAAATAAGAGCTGCTGACTTACAGGCATTATTTCTATTTCTCCATCTGGTCCTTCACTGACAAATTCCTGTATGAGAAACAAAGTATTTTGGATAGCTCAACACATCACCCAGCCCAGAGCCCAGCATTTACAAACATACCCTTTTTCACAAAAACTACCATTTAAAAATTACAGTAGAAAAAAGAAATCTTTTAAGGAATTACTCTCAATTTCAAGTTCATTTATCAATTGCCTTGATACATAACTGTGAACTTCCAGTTGATGTCAACCTACCAACCCACAGTTCTGCCAAACAGCAACCTGCTCTTTACAGAATTAAAACTGTTCACAGAGTGACACTTTCCTTTCAAGAGCACAATAACTGTGCAAGGACTCAAGCCCAGTGCAATGCAAACCCAACAGACATATCTGAAGACGTGGTTCCTAGTGATAATAAGTAAACTTTGAAAAGCAGAGGCTGCAGATTGATGGTACCGTGTTATAAGCGTCCTGTCTGGTATAGGTTAAGAGCTCCTCTCTCACTTCCTCCTGAAATTTTTGTTCTGCCTTTTCCAGCTCCTTGGCATGCTGATACTCCCATTTTATATTTGCAGTTTTCAAATCCTTTTAGGAAGAAAGTTAGTACATTTTAAAATATTGCTATTTTCACACTAAATACGCTAACAGCAGTAAACTGCCACTGATTTGAGTCTCACCTTTCATAGGCTAACAGTCATAGCAAAGTTAGTTAAAATGAGATTTTATTCTTGGTTAAGGCCCTCATAGCAGTAAAGAGAAAGGGAAATATGTCTCCCTTTTAATTAGGAACCAATGTGTTTTCAGACCACAGTCACTTTGAGCAAAATTTCAGTGCTCATAACAAAACAAAACAAAAAATAACCTGACAACAGTTAGAGTTTTCTATTTTGTTGTTATTAGTTACCCAGAAAATTAAATATAGTTGCTTACCTTGTTGGCTTTCTGGCTCTTTTGATCATCCAAAGTGTGACACAATTCCAAGAAATTAAATGCATACTTTTCAGTTGGCTTAAGCTGTTGAGAAAAAACATTTTGACACATTGCTAGTTCTTTAGCCCTTGAATTAGAAACATGTAAATAACAACAAGCAGAAAAACAGCCCAACCAATAAATATATTTATTTTGGTTGCAAATAACGGCACCACAATTTAAGGCAGAAAAGATATATAAGGACAAAAAAAACATGACTAGAACATGACTAGTTCTGACTCCTCTGCTCCCATCCCAGTGGTACCACTGAATATAGGCTCCAACTATTGGCTTCCATTTTCCTAACTGGGAATAAAAAGATAAAATCCCACCCAAGTCGTTACAAACACTCTTGAGTGGTCATTAGTAAGCAGGTTGCTATTTGTTTCCTGCACAAGTAGCCAAAGGGAAAAAGAGACAATCCAAATCTGGCAGAACTTGAGGAATGCTGTGAATAGTCATTTAATGGTTAAGAAGAAACAGATCCTAGTCCTTGTGAGAAAAATCAGGAGTATCTGCAAAGCACAGGGCTGTAAACTGGTTTTATATAATTTTATATATCCTGCAGTGCATTTAGTCCAATGCACTTTACAAATCCTCAGGAGAACATTTGGTGACTTAAGTGTTTTGGTACGTGAACAGATCTATCAACAAGCTCAGATTAACCCCCAGGAGTGCTTCAATATTTAAGTTTGCACAGAAACTCTCCAATGTAAATGGACTGGAGAGAAGGTACTTTAGGAAAGCCACTTGACTGTTGCACAGGAAATTCCAAATCTTTCTAAATGTTTACACCAAACAAGAGAAATCACCATACCTGACCCAGCAAGCTAGCCAGCTGTTCTTCCAGCTGAGAAGGAACCACGGTGTTTTTTGTATCATCCAGCTCTGAATCTGTGTCATTTCTTAGCTCAGATAGTGTCTCTTCTGTAAACTTCCTAGAATCCTCTTTTCCACCTTCGGAGCAAAGAACCTTATGGAAACACGTTTGCAAGTATTCAGTAAGACAGTGCACGGTGGCAAAATTTTTTTCAACATCCTAAAATTGAACTTAGAAAAGTCAATATATTTGACAGCTTTTGCTGCAGGAGATGTTGTTTTGGATTGATTAAAACAATGCCAATAATAGAGTAAAATTTTCATTGGAACAAAAGAGAAGTTTTATTTCTAGGTACTGTTACCTCCTGATTTTCTATATGAGCTAAAAATTCAGGATCTCTACTGACTTGAACTGTGAACACATATCACTGGCCCACAGACAAGTATAGAAGTAAATACAGAACTACCCATTCCAAATTCTGATTCTGATCTACTAAAACACTTATTTTTTATGTATCATTAAGCTCCCATTCTTAATGTTACAGTACCTGAGAGAAAAGGTCTGTTGAACAATCATCTCCCTGAGCAGCCAGTTCTTGAATCAAATGTTTCACACCTTGTTTCAACAGCCTCTCTTCGACAGAATTACCACTTACAAGCCTGTAAACCAAAACAAAATGCTGCTGCCTAGAAAACAGTGATCGTATACATCTGGATTTCACAAAAAATACAAGAGCAGGGAACTGGCTGAGAGTGTCTGCACTGCACACCCACCTGGCCTGGGGTGTAAGGTGAGCAAGAGCTCCCCTGTGCTCTCAGCACAGCCTTCCAAGGCAAGAAACGCACTCGAGAGAAGCTTTCAGATACATCACCCATCATCACAAACAGCAGCATCTCATCACCAGTGGATGTGAAATCCAGTGAGAGATCAACTAAGGCATTTCTTGTTTATCGAGAGCTGAAAACACCCACATTTGTTTTGACTGTCCCAACACAGAAGTCCAGATGGTTTGTAAGATGAAAGTGGGAGGG